TTGAACAACCAAACTGCAGAACTTCAGTCAGCTGAAGTAGCCTGCATTGCTGCATTTAACCACTGCGCCACCTTGGCTCTATATTGTCCTTGCCCCTGATCATCCATCATACTGTGTGTATTCCATCTGTAGCCTTCCATCTTGGTAATTACCAGAGTACTGATCTAACTTCATCTTCTAGTACTACAAATTCTTGTAAGTAGGAAATACCTCCTAAGGTACTTTAGATATTGGCATCTCTATTGTAACTTCCAGCTTTGTTTGATCTTCTTTGTATCAGTTATTATAACGGTGGGCTTATACAAAGGTGCGTGTGCATAGGTCATTTTAATGGTTGTTTCACAAGTGAAGCCTGCTCCTTATCAAAACTAGCTTCAAATTTTGGTGCTTCAGTTAATTTAGAAATCAATGGCTTGAATGCGGATAATCAGAGTAATCAAGTCCTTGAAATTAAGGAATGAGCAATGTCTTTGAAGGAAGTTGCATTACAAAGCAATAATTAATTTTAATAAAATTCTTTTATGCCACACGCCAATTAATCCACCACAGAGCCCTCTGTTGATATAGGTCTTTAAACATACCTTTCTCCTTTTAACTAAAAGATTCAAAAGCATAGCCCATTCTACCAAATAACAGTGAAGAATATCTCCTTTCATTCTAACTCAGTGTTATCTTGCTGTGCTTTAAAAAAAAAATAAGACTATTGGATTTTTTAAAAACTATGTTAGCAAATGATCCTCCATGGTTTCAATGGAATACTTCCAAACATAATGGTGATTTTATCTTTTTGGATGTACAAAGCTTTGCTTTTAATTTTACTTTCATGAAAAGAGCCATGGAAGATTATGTTTAAATATGATTACTGCTGTGAGACTATTATATGCACAAAAATGGAAAGACTCTGAAATATCCACATTGGAAGACTGGTTGATGAAGATGACAGAGACAGCAGAGATGACAAAGTTAAGTTGTTTGATTAGTGAAAGATCAGTAGGTACATTTATTAGTAACTAGAAACCCTTTATAGACTTTTTAGATGAAAAAAGAGAAAAAAATGAAATTGTGATTNGTGCAGGAGGCTGACTAGGCCACGCCCACCATGCCAATGCCCATCCACCAGACGGGCAGAGAAGCCGTTGCTGAAATTTTCGAAGCCCACCCCTGATTTATTGGGAGCTATTGAATTGGGCCTTGGAAGAAATTAGCACCAAGACAGATAGAAAGAACTGGACAGTATAAAAGTTCTGGAGATTACAAAGAATCAGGAAGAAGGATCAGAAAAATTAAAGAGACAGCACTACAGATAGTATATTATAGTCTTATCCAGCTTAGATGGAACTTTCAATTAGTTACAATTTATGACTTTCAAAACCATTTGGGAGAAAAACCACATTGCAATTCATTCTGTTTGTTTGCCAGAAGCACATTTTTGAAACAAGCCAATGGACTTTTGAACATTTGGGGAAAAATACTTTTAAAGCAGTGTTTCTCAACCTTGGCGACTTTAAGTCCCGTGGACTTCAACTCCCAGCTCTGCTGGCTGGGGGATTCTGGGAGTTGAAGTCCACAGGACTTAAAGTCGCCAAGGTTGAGAAACACTGCTTTAAAATATATGTTTTGCTATTTTCCTCATGCTTGTGTTCAATCACCCACAGGTGCTTTTTTGCTTTTAGCTATGCATATGGCTTTTACACGGTGTGAGCCTCTTTTCAAATATCATATGATGAATATGATGAATCTCTCCTAACCAGTTAAACTTTGTTACTAACTCACAAGCCCTAGTAGTGTCTCACTCCGAATGCATTCCTGTTGCCAAGGGAACCATGTTGACGATTTTTTCTGTCTTATTATGTAGAAGTAGCAATTTTATCGCCAGGAATAATGCATTGAATTGATTTACCTCTATTCTCACATTAGCCTAATTCCATTATCAGAAAAAGATTACTGAATATATTTTTTTTACAAAAAAAAAACTTCAATATGATATTGAAGTTAAGCTCAAGAATGCTGATGTTTACTTGGGGAAATAAGATTTATGCAAAATATTTACTATAAGAAAATAAAATAAACCAGCACTAATATTTTTTTAAAAATAACCAATCTGTCCATTTAGATTACTTAATTAACACAGAGATAAATCCATTGTTAACATCTGAACTGTAACGATTATAATAACATATCGAAGTTTTAGGATAATTGCAATAATTGCTCATAGATCGAGGTATTGTGCCATCTACAGTTTTGATTGTGAGAATATGAAATAAAAAGAGACATGTACTATATTAGAAAAGCAGATGAGAGAAGGGAAAATGGTCAAAGCTTCAGCATTTTCTGTATCTTGAAACAATATGAATACAGGTTAATATAACGTCAGTATAATACAAAGAGTAAGAAAGTAGAAGAAATAATTCATGGGTAAGAGATTCAATGTCTATCAGATTTAAAAGGGAAAAAAAATATATTGGGAGAGATTTCCCAGAGAAGAAGTTGTTAATATAAAAGTGAAATCCTTCATAACACCAAAACCAATCTTGCCAAAGCCACCTTTTTCACAGCCT